GGATATGCCAATTGACGTGTGGGATTCGAGTCCAGATTTTGATTCGTCATAAGAGCTTCCAGCACGTCGAGGCGCGCACGGGTTTCTCTCATCGCAAAGTCTTCGCCTTCCGGCTGTGCTCCGTTGGTGCTTGGAAGGTTCTGCTTGCACGTACTCAACAAGTGCCATAATAAGCGAGCCTCTTGACTAAAGACGCCGGTCATGTCGGTATCGGCGGTAGCCTTGTACTTGATGGTCTCGGTGAAGAAAGCGGCCTCTTCATGTAGGGAGCGGTCGCTGAAGACTCTGTTGAGAGCATTGTTGTTCGTCGAGAACCAGTTGGTCTCAAGTACGAGGTCGAGCCCTTGGCAGTAATCATTAATAAAGATGCGCGAGAACTCGTCGTCGATTTCACGGGGCACTGGCGAGGTCCGCTGAGGAACCTCGGGCGGGCTGTGGTTGCAGATACCAAAGATGTCTTGGATATTCAACCGCTTGCCTGAATCTGCGTTAGGACTGTGATGGCGATATGGAGCAGGATACCAACCTTTCATGGGCTCTGGCGGAGGCGGGTGGTAGCTGGCGCCTGGAGGCCCTCTCATGTTGGGATCCATGGGGTGCACGCCGTTGTAATGTTGGGGTGGCTGTAGATTGGGATCGGCTTGCGCGAGTGCAGGGTCTATGGCGTGGAAGTTGCCTTGCTGGTGTTCGCCGCTCGTAGCAGGAGCAGCAGTCGCGTACCCCGCGGACGAGGCAGGCGCGTACCCTTGGGGTACCGGACTTTGGCTGTAGTTGGAGGAGGAAGGTGCGGGCGCCGGTGCGCTTGTCGCGTGGGGTGCGGGCGCAGAGTTGGGAGCAGGTTGTATTTGGGCGGGACCGGATTGCTGCTTGAAAATCGGGTCGTAACCCAAGCACTCTCGTTTGCTCTTCTGGCAGTTCCGGCACATGGGGTGGGCTTCGTCGCACTGTCGGGGTGGTGGTTAGCGCATGAGCAGGTGAGTAGTGATGTTGGTGCGCGATGCAGAAAATTTGCCAGAAATCGGCGCAGCTGTATTTGCAGCCCGCAACGACGATGTTGCGAGGCAAAGTGCTGCAGTCCACTGAATAGCAGTGTTGCTGCACAGCCGGTCGCTTCTGACACGCGAGAGGTTGGATTAGAGGAGTTTGGGTTCCTCGCTCGGTTAAGCAAGCGACAAGCAATAGCTCCTCTGACATCGCGTCGCGTCTGCACCGCGTTCCATTGACGTATGCACTCACCTTTATTCTCCGTTTGCGACATGTCAGACAGCCAGTCTTGGTGCGACGCTTGATCTCCTTCTTATGGCGACCACCAGACAGCACTCGCTGGTCGCCCTGCGGCGGCAGCTGGTATCGCATGGCATTGAATTGCGGGCCCATGTTGCCCATCATGGGCGGGCCTTGCTGCGCATGCGCCGGGTGAGGATAGTACTGCGGCATACCGTGCTGCGGCGGTGGGAGCGGAGAGCCCATGGGCTGGGGCGGCTGCTGAGGTTGCGCCTGGGGCTGCTGGCCGTCCTGCAGACGTATTGGCGGCAGATTGAGGGGCGGCAGCGACATGTTGGAGCCCTGGGGAGAGCTGCGGTAGCCATCGTTGCTCTGCTGGCCTTGGGGCGGCGGGTAGGTATACGTGGGCTGCATCGAGGGCGACGGGTACGAGTGCGGTGAGGGATAGGCGACGGCCTGCTGCTGGCGCGACTGCATGTTAGGATCGGCCATGCTCTGGTGGGAAAAGTGCGAAGGGGCCGGCGAGTAGGGCGCCTGGGAGATGTGGGTGGAAAAGTCGTGCGACATGGGCTAGCAATGGAGTCTGCCACCGGGGCGCTCTTCAGTTCTTGGGGATGTCTTGAAGAGCACGGCGGCGCTAGAAAGCTTGAGGCGGATGGGAAGAGGGACGGCAAGCCTGGCAAGGAACTGGGATTAGCTGAGTTGGCGAAGGCGTTATGACCCGCGGAACAGGGGCCTGGCCTCGCTCGGTTCGACGCCGCCGCGCTGCACGTAGTTGTGCGTGCACTACATAGATTGGGATAACAAATACGTGAACGACTCAAAGACTAACAAAGTCCAGAGAATGAAAGTGAGAAGGGCTAAACTATGATAGATGAGGAAGGATGAGGATGAGGATGATGAAGACTGGCATGCCAGCTGCCGCTCCCTGAAATGCATCGCGCGCGATATCCCTCACTCATCTCGTCCGTCTAGGAGGCAGCGAGTGGACTCAGTGGAGGGTGGGCTGCAGCTGGCTAGCCGCCTTTAGCAGGTAATGAGGGCGCATGTGGCAGTGCCATGAAGGAATCAACCGACTTTACTTACAAGCTGCCTACAAGCGAGTCTCGCTTGAGCGGAAGGTAGCGAACAGGGTACTGCTGTCCGACGGGCTAGCGACGCGCGACGATGAGCTGGCCGAGGAGAGCTTGGGCAGAGGAGCACTTCTAGCGACGAGAGGGCGGCAGGCCGATGCAGCCAGAGCAATCGGGCATTTCTTCAGCAAAAGGCTAAAGGCGCAGACCGCTCCCCAGCGCAAAAAGAACTTCAGCATGCCAGGGCCGCTAGCCTGCATCGGGCCAATCACGTGCCGCTCTGCGCTGCGCACTGGGGCCCGCCACACTGTTCTTCCTGCAATCAGCGTCGTCCCGTCCGCTGCTGCACCTCTCTATTGCCCATTACCCAAGTACCTTACTGAGCCGAGCCTCGTGCGGCGTGCAGCGACATTCTGACCCGCTTAGACACACCATGCAGCCGCCCATACCACCCACACTGCACCGTTTGCGTTGCTCAACCCTCATCCGACGGACTGGCAGAATTTGATTAAGGCTGATTGCGCAGTACCTGGGTCCCGGTCCAGCCGGCGCGAGCGGCATCTCTTCGAGAACACCTCCCTCTTGCACCCTCTGCACCCTCACTGCTCGCTTAGCTATCGGTGGCTTGCTCCTGCATCGTCACGACGAACCATTCTGTGCCTGCTTGCACATCTCTGATGCCGCGTATTCTTAGCCTGCCCTTATTTCACTGCCCATTTCACTGCGCAATCCTTTGCTCCCACTGCGGGTGACGTAGGTAGCTCCCGATGTGACAATCGTGCAATGGTGCGCTGTCCAACGATCAAGCACACGAGCATCCGATCTCCAGACTGCGTCTTACGGGCCGGTTTCCCTTCCAGGGTGGCCAGCGGCGCGCCTCGTCCTATCTAAAGCGCGCGCTGACATCAACTTCCGCCTGTCCAATTCAATCTCCCTGCCTATTTACCCGCAATGGGCATATCGCAAGGGCGGCTTCCATTGCCAGCCACAACGCCGTATCTGAAGGCATCTGGCGGAATCCTCCATGGGTTATCTGCGGGTAAATAAACGCATATCGGGTTAAGCCATTGCCTGCTACAGCTGAGTGTGACCAACCTGTAGGAGGTGCATCACCGGCAAGACTTGTCCTTCCGTCTGGGTAGCACTAGGAGGCCGCCAACACGTGTCGAGATATCTACTGGACACCTCACCATTGTCGCCGAACAACCTTCGCGCCAAACAAGCTGGTTGGACTTTGCGATGCGACATGCGATGCGACAGGCGATACTGCATTGCGAATCCCTTGTCCAATGTTGCACAAGCAAAGACCCTGGTCCTAGGGCTGACAAGGTGCATCTAACAGGCCGCTACCAGTGCGCGCGCAGGGAAGTCTGCACTCGGTGCGACCAAGAACACAGCGCCAGAGAAGCCTGTGGAACACTGCTAATTGTCGCTCGTTCGCAAAGTGTCTCTCGCGGGCGCCCGCTGAGACATGGTAAGATCTCGTCTATCGCAGTGCACAGAAAAGCCAGGTCAGGGATACCCCCGCACACGAAAGCATCGAACGCTTCTCGAACAAAGTTGAACGCCAACCGAGCGAGCTTTGCGCATCATCCTTCCGCCCCGCTCTCGCCTACAGACCGCCTGAAGCGACAGGTGTCTTGATCATCGCTGCAATACGAGATGCATCGGGCTTTGCAAGGGATGGCCTTTTCCTTGCTCAGTAGGATTTTGCACAATTACATTTTCGATTGTTATGCCTGATCTCACAACAATGGCTGAGTCGTGCGGTGGCCACTTCTTATCCAAAGCTGCAGACCCTGAATAAGTTCACGCCATTGAGTTCACACTAAGTATTGCTGTCGCGAACCGACTCGGCTTTACCCTGGAGTATCCCAGAATCATGAGTAGGGATAGTCAGCAGCACAGACGTCGGCCAAGCGATATCCACGGTGTAGGAATCGGCGCGTTGCTCGTTCATTCCATAATCATGGTCGCGCACACCTGACCACCTCGACACCAACTCCAAGTTGTGTCAACCTGAGTCATCTCGAACACCGACAATTTCCGTGGCTTCAGGACACTGGAAAATTCAATACTCCCGCGGTTCATGAATAACGTTCTGGCCTGCCAGTACTACAAGTGTGCAAAAACCAGGCAACAGCTTTTCTGAGTCGTTGAGAGCCACATTGTAAGTATGACGATCTCACACGCGGCGACGATATGATGGATAACCACAGTTTGAACATGCAATAGAAAACCATGGTTTGTGGTGCATCCAAAGAGTCATGAAATTAAGGGTCGTCGTGCATGCGAGGGCGTTGAGAGGCAGGCTTAGCGTGTGGAAAGGGCTGATGCTATCATCGCAAGAGTTGGGAACCAAGGTAGGTGAACACAACCTACTGTGTCTACTTCGACTCGTAGGCATCTCGCAAGTTCTGACTGGCACGCATCTCTCCAATATGAAATTGTTGATTCGCCCTTTTTTTGGTGGTACTTTGGTTGTCGTGGCCTCCACCTTCAGGCTGCCATTTCGGTACCGTGGGACGCACCACAGCAGAATTGTACAAAATAAGGGGACAGACACCCTCTATCTTCTTTTTTCTCATATCCTCGCTCGGTCTTCATCTTGTGCACACTGTCTACTGACTACCACTTTGTCGTACCGCCACTTCACAACAACTCTTCCAGCTCATCTAACCTCCACACACACCAACTGTCAACATGTCCACAACAATAGACCAACAAAAAGAGGCCGCATACACCCTGCTCTCTGGTATGCTCACAAGCGTCCTACAGAAAGAGTGGAAAATAACAGACCGCCATTCGGCACAGTCGTCCGCCCTCCTCGACATACTACTCCTTCCCAAGCCAGCCCCAACCCCCACCCCAGCTCCCATCGCCCCCACCCCCATTAAGATCCAGAAACAAAGCATCTTCCGCCTAGGCAACAGAACATTCGACCTCGGCCCCGAACACGAATCTTCCGCCAGTTCCTCCTCCGATGACGATGCTCCGATCCGGAATGCGCGTCAGCTTAAGAGCGAGATGCGTAGGGTTAATGCGATTCAGAGGCGTGCGAAGAGGAGGGCGGAGAGGGGGAGGAGGAGGATTGAGAGGCATCTTGGGAAGACGGAGGGGGTACTGGAGTTTGAGACTGAGACCAAGACTTTGGAGACTACGAAGAGGGGGGTGGAGACGCCGGTGAGGATGTTGAAGGAGCTGGAGGACTACAATAGTCCTGCGAGGGGAAGTTTGTCTAGCGATAAGCTCATGTCGCCGCGAAGTGCTGAGTTCAGTTCGACGGCTAGCGAGGGCAACAGGGAGGTTGAGGAATACGATGGCGTCGACAGTCCCATGTCGGAACCCGTACAGGCACCCAGGCGACTACAGCGCGCGGGGCCTCACATCAAGTATGTCAAGCCGGCATCCAGCCAGCGTCCCGGAATTGCAAGGAAGGATTACCTAGGGCGACCACAGCGCCACTGCAGCGACTGCGACCGTACGTTACTGGCCTCCCACTGGACATGCCACGTCAAAGGCCGAATGCATCAGGACAATGCAGCTCGGGACAAGCAATCGCCTCCCGTGCAGGGCACGAAAACTAGACAAGAGTATATGCGCGGCTTGAAGCAATATTGCGTGTACTGTGACCGCCAGGTCCATTCGAGGGGCTGGGGCGGCCATTTGAAGGCAAGGGCGCATTTGGAGAATGTGGCGAAGGCCAAGGCGGATAAGGGGGACATTCACCTCCACGCCCCGACACCGGAGTCCGTTGTGCTGTCTGTGGAAGAGGAAGAGCAGAAAGAAGAAGAGGAGGAGTATGAAGATGACGGCTTCGGCGAAGAAGGCTACGAATATGGTCACTATTGCGATGACTGCGAGGTCACGTTCGCTGGTGCGAACTGGGCGCGGCATTTGACTTCGGCAGGCCACGTATTCAATGTCATTAAAAACTCTCCGGGGGATGAGGATATGACGTCCGATGACGATGAGGAAGAAGAAGAAGAAGAGGAGGAAAGCATGGCAGACTATGATTCTGCCACTGATGGAGAGAGCATCGTGTATGATGATGCCACTGACGAGGATTCTGCGTCGCCCTCGCCCTCGCCATCATCTTCACCCTCAGCGGAAGAGGATAACGTATCCAATGAGGGAATCACATTCCCCCACGACGGGACACCGGTTGCGGAACTCGCCTCGCCTCCCTCCCTCACATCTTCGCCCACCTCCCCCTCCACATTTTCCTGTGCTGAATTCCCTTCGGGAGTGAACTTCTACTGCGAGACCTGCAAGGTCACTATCTTGTCTGCGGATCCCTGGGAGATTGATGAGCATGTGGCTGATCACGCATATGCAGCCTGCGAGAAGGAAGAGGTGGTGGGGATGGATTGGTTGAGTCAGCTGAGGGAAGCTGCTGGGTGGGTGAAGGATGTGGAGGTGGAGGATATGGAGGGGGTAGAGGATATGGAGGGGGTAGAGGAAGTGAAGCAAGGTGGCATGGAATGTGAATACAATGGGTGGGCATGGAAGATGGGGACGGATGGTAAGGTAGTTGGGGGTATACGACGTAGTCCGTCTTATTAGAGGTCGAGTGTGGATTGATATGTATCCGCCACGATACCTCATAGATATGTGTAACTTGCGGAAGAGCGTCAATGTAGTCTACTAAAGACATTTTCAGCATCGTATTTCACCATGATACAAACACAGTTTGATGAGCATAATCATATTGGGTTTCCAACTATCTGACTATCCCTGCAACGTCCCAACGTATAGGTATCGAGAACTATCCCACAATGAAACGCCGCCCAATGCACTCGCACTCACTGCAATGCCACGAAAACGCCATATATGCTGACCAGATACCATATTACCCCTACAACCATAACAACCAAGAAGACCAACTAAGTATCCGTCTTGGGCTTCTTGTTCGGCAGTGCTGGCACCTTGAAACCACCCGCATCCACCTTCGAGCTACCGTTGAGCTGCGTGAACGAACCGCCCTTGAACCACCTATCCTCGTCTGCCTTCCTCTTACGGTTGGCTTCCTCACGCGCCTTGGGGTCAACCAACTCGAGGCCTTGGACAGGTGTGAACGCGATGGAGTTCGTTCCTGCACCACCAAGACCCACACCACCAGTTCGTAGACCCTGTGCACGTAGACTGGTTGCTGTGCCGCTTCCGCCAAAGCCTTTGAGAGACGAAGCTGCACCGAGAGTGGTGTCGGTGCCCCAGCCGGGGTTCTTCTTGCTGAGTTTGGCGCGGGTCTTGGGGTCGATTTGTTGCGCGCGGAGTCGTCCGGTGTCTGTGGCTCCGATCATGCCCATGCCTGCTACGGAGTCGCCATATCCGACTTCCTTCTCTTCTTTGCCGAAAGTCATCCGGTTTTGAGCCTTGCGTATCTCGGTCATTGCTGTTGCTTCCTTGGCCTTGCGGGCTCGCCTTCCACCTCTCTTTCGCGACGGCTTCTCATCGGGTACGGGAAGGGCCCTTCCTCCGGCCTTTTGGTTCGCTGGCATCTCCACCAACTTGTCCAACCGACGCTCACACTCTTTCCTCAGATCCATACCTATATCGGCAGTGCCGGAGTTGGAATGGGCGTCCACACGCGCGGCGAGAATGACCTTGGCCGCAACAATACGTAGCGCTTGCTTCCTCAGATCCGGTCTTTGGTTCTGGATGATGTCGCTGTGGTACAGGTAACCCTCGTGCCTCAGACCCATGTTCGAAAGTCCGACGGTAGCACCAGAGACTTTGGTCGAACCTAGAGGTGCAATATTGCAAGCGGGAGTCTTGGCTAGATTCGCGATACCGCCAGAGTATGAGATGAGATGGGCTGCGGTCAAACTTCCAATAAGCGCGGTAAGGTTAGGCGCGAACAGCTCAGTTCGGGATTCGACGAAACCCAGAATCTTGGATTTGGCGGCGTGTAGCTCGAGCAGCAGATGGCATGCGTTTGACACCAGGTCCAGCTCGGATTGTTCAAGAAGTCTCCCTTCCACACGTGTAGCTTCAATCTCGACAATCATAACCTGGGCAGGTTCCATTCCTTCGATTTGCCTCAGCTTGGGGCTGATGTCTTTGATGCTTGACAAAGGTCCGCCGCCGATGACCAAACATGCTTTGGCGTAGACCACAGGGTTCTTGATCAGATCCTCCAAATGGGGGAAGAAGGCCGAATAGTGGTCGCGAATGAACTTGTGGACGCTAGCAGTCTCGCCATCGATCTGTGTGGAGAACTCGTTGGCTTCTGTGAGGAGTTGGTATTCCGGAGATTCCTCAAACGATTCGCCCTCGACTATGTCCATCTGGTCCTTAGCCTCTTCGATGCGCTTGAGGACGGGGTCCAGGTTCGTCTTGAGCTGCTGCGCGGATCGAATGTCGGCCGGACCCTTGTTTTCCTTGTCCTTGTCCTGCTGCTTCTCGCGATATTGCGCCTCCTCATCGACCATCTCATCGTCGTCGCCAGAACCCTCGGCGAAGTCATTCTCCAGATCCTGGACATCCTCATCACCACTGTCTGCGAAGTCCGCCAGGAGCTCTTGCTCGAGAGTCGCCATGGCAGAATGTAGGCTGGGGGTATTCGGGGTATGTGCGGTTCAGCGTCGCTACCAGGCAATAGCAGTTGGGGGTATCGAGGAAGTCGCGACGGCGGCCAGAGGTTACCCTCCTAGTGGATATCGGTTGAGTGCTGAGTTCGGGAGCGTGCAGTATACTACGTACCTGTTGCCTGGGATGGCCGCCGGTCGAGTCGTGAATGCGCGCGGGTGAGTGTCGTGGGGAGAGAGAAGTTGCGCCGGCAGTGACGTGAAAGTGCTAATTGCTTGGCGTGCAGCGGATAAAAGTTGCGCTAAGGCAGTCGCGTTCTCACGTTACAGATTAATCTTGTCGCATCGCAGAACGACGCCCTACATACGACAATCGCTATCGCCAAGCTATTGTACCGTAGTCGTACTGCGTAGGCATCCGCGATCACGTGCTCGGCGGTTTGAGCGATCCGGACCAACCTTTGGAGCTCTGTTACTCCGACACGATCCAGGCGCGACAGCCTTCACGACCGACGTGCGCCTCGTCCGCTATCACCATCGCGCGCATACCACCACCTCCCTCATAAAGCCCTTGATCATCATATTCGAACGTCAACATGGAGGCCTCACGGGGACCCCCGCGGGTCAAGAACAAGGCCGCGGCGGCTGTCCAGATCTCTGCCGAACAATTGCTGAGGGAAGCCGTCGACCGTCAAGATGAGAAGCTCAAGGCGCCAACGCAGCGCTTCGCCGACATCGAGGAGTTGCATGAGTTCCAGGGGAGGAAGAGGAAGGAGTTTGAGGACTATGTGCGGCGCAACCGCATCAACATGAACAACTGGATGCGCTATGCTTCCTGGGAGCTGGAGCAGAAGGAATTTCGACGTGCCCGCTCCATCTTCGAACGAGCTCTCGATGTCGACTCAACGTCCGTCCCGTTGTGGTTGCGATACATTGAGAGTGAGATGAAGCACCGCAACGTCCAGCATGCCCGTAACCTTCTCGACCGCGCCGTTACCATTCTTCCGCGAGTCGACAAGCTATGGTACAAGTATGTCTACATGGAGGAGACGCTCGGCAACATCGACGGTGCCCGCTCGGTCTTCGAACGCTGGATGCAGTGGGAGCCTGAGGAGGCGGCATGGAGCTCATACATCAAGCTGGAGAAGAGACACGGCGAATTTGAGAGATGCCGGGCAATCTTCGAGCGCTTTACTGTCGTTCATCCGGAACCCAAGAACTGGATCAAATGGGCCAAGTTTGAGGAGGAGAACGGCACCAGCGACCTCGTGCGCGATGTCTACGGTACCGCCGTCACAACACTTGGAGATGACTTTATGGATGAGAAGCTGTTCATGGCATACGCGAAGTTCGAAGCGAGGCTGAAAGAGTTGGAACGTGCCCGAGCCATCTATAAGTTCGCCCTGGATCGTATGCCACGATCGAAATCGGTCAACCTACACAAAGCCTTCACAACCTTCGAGAAGCAGTACGGAGATCGAGACGGTATTGAAGACGTAATTCTGTCGAAACGACGTGTACACTACGAGGAGCAAATCAAAGAGAACCCCAAGAACTACGACAGCTGGATCGATTTTGCCCGACTGGAAGAGACGTCTGGCAACCCCGACCGAGTTCGAGACATATACGAGCGAGCCATCGCCCAGATACCACCCACACAGGAGAAGCGCCACTGGAGACGGTACATATATCTTTGGCTGTTCTACGCAGTCTGGGAGGAGACAGTTTCGCACGACATCGAACGAACCCGTCAAATTTACCAAGAGTGCATACGTTTGCTGCCACACAAGCGCTTCACGTTCGCCAAAGTATGGCTGGCTTTCGCTCATTTCCTTGTGCGACAAGGAGAGCTTACCGCTGCACGTAAGCTGCTCGGTCAAAGTTTGGGCATGTGTCCAAAGGACAAGCTTTTCAAGGGCTACATCGAACTGGAGATGAAGCTCTTCGAGTTCAACCGTTGTCGGCAGCTGTACACCAAGTACATTGAGTGGAATGGCTCAAACTGCCATACATGGATCAACTTCGCCAACCTAGAGCGTGGTCTCGACGACCTTGACCGTGCGCGGAGCATCTTCGAAATCGCCGTAGACACGCAAGAGATGGACATGCCAGAAGTTCTATGGAAAGCATACATCGACTTCGAGGAGGAAGAAGGCGAGTACGGCCGCACACGCGCACTCTACGAGCGCCTCCTCGAAAAGACCGACCACGTCAAAGTCTGGCTCTCCTACGCCCAATTCGAACTCGGCGTCCCCGACGAAACCACTCCCGAAGACGACGAAACGATCAGCGAGCTCGCTAAATCCCGCGCTCGCGAAGTCTTCACGCGGGCGCACACCCGGCTCAAGGAGAAGGACCTCAAAGAAGACCGCGTGGCGCTTCTCTCTGCGTGGAAGGCGTTCGAAGATGTTCATGGAACTGCAGAGGACAAGGACAAGATCGAGAAACAGATGCCGCGCAAGGTCAAGAAGAGGCGTAAGTTGGACGACGACAGCTTCGAGGAGTATGTCGATTATGTTTTCCCGGCCGACGACGAGAGTGCGGCGAAGTTGGCGAAGCTTATGGCGAATGCGCAGAGGTGGAAGATGGCGCAGGCTGCGAAGGCGGCTGCGGAAGAGAATGGGGATGCTGCGGATGGGGGCGGGGAGTAGGAGTGTTTGGGGTGTTTGGGAGGTGGGGCGTATGTAGGATAAGAGGAATCAGCATCGTTGTCTGGGACCTTGGTTGTTGTGGCGGTGACTCCGCGCTTGATCCTTGTTTTTGCAGACGCGTCCAAGTGAGAGTGAAGGTGACTCTAAAAATTTCGTCTTGGCGCACACATATTTAATAGCAAGCACTGCTCTCGTCTCCTAGACTCCTACAATCAACTCCAAATCTGAACGCAGCACCAGCAAAGATGGCCTCAAAGCAAGAGAAGCAGGTCCAGGCGCAGTACGAAGAGACCCTCAAAGCCAGCATCATCTGTAAGTCATTTCTAACTACCACTGCGGTACACTTCTGACATCATCCTTCGTAGCCCACGTTCGAGCAGTCTACGGCCCAAAGCACCCCCGCGGCTGTACTTTCGACGTCGTCGCTTCCAAAAAGCCCGATATCAGTCTCAGATATACATACATCGCCTACGTCATTGTCTACCCTAGCCCGTCTGATTCATTCTCCACTAGATGGAGGCTTCTTCTACAGACTCCCGAAAGGAGTGACTTGCGGTTTTGTTATGAGTCGCTCATTCACGCTCTACAAGTCGATATGCTTGCGGTCATGGGTACGTGGAGATGCCTGAGAATGATACAAGTGAGAACAGTCCGCTGACGAGTGACACTAGACAACGCACCTCGAGCCGACGATGAGATGGAGGAATCTTCAGAGGTTCGCGACGAGTAGGAGATCTTTGAGATGATGACTACAAGGGCTCATTAAGATGCCAAGAGCGTCTGGTGAAGGGGTTGTAGAAGTCGTGGTCCGTTCTCAGGACAAGACCTTCTGGTCTTGCATTTGCTGTTTGCGGTCACGTCATCAGAGCTTAGCAAATGCGAAACAGCCATGCTCAAGTGAAGGAGACCGAAAGAGCGCAACGCGTCTTGGCGTACGTACTTTAAGACAAACTCTTTACTTCTAGCTCTCTGCTTTCTCAGTCCTACACTTAACTCAGAACCTTACATCCAACTCCAAATTCCAACGCAACAGCAGCAGATATGACTTCTCTGGCAGTGGAAGAAGAGGCACTCAAAGCCACTATCCTCTGTACGTGTATCCACGGTGATCACTTCTTTCTGCTTGACTAACTTGCTCAATAGCCCATGTTCGCGCCATCCACGGCCCGAAATACCCTAGAGGTACTGTGTTCGACGTCGTCAGTGGATACTGCCGTGGACAAGATAGGCCGTATACCTGCTATGTCGTCGTTTACCCCGAAACCAAACCTTTCAAGGCGGGCGAAGTGGTCTCCGCCGATTGGTTTCCAATAGAGTCATCGGGTTTTAGGTTCAATGCCATTCAAGCCCATCAAGATCTTCTTACCAACCTGCGGACTGAAATGATTGGGGTTATGGGTAGGTGAAGAAGCATAGATCCTGATCGCCATTCGCTGACTAGGTTTAGTTGAGACATGCAAGAAGAAGGCCGAGGAGTGATCCGCGATGAACTCGCCGACACTGGACTGACCTCTGGGTTCTATCTGCAGGAGGAAGGTCGTTGCCGGTTTGCTTACCAGCAGTCATGTGAAGCTAAGAGAAGGGACGTTAGCTTGGCACATGTAAAACAGCTTGGACCAAGTGAATACAAGTGAATACAACTAAAGAATCGGATCTCGCTTCTTGGCACACATAATACCTGTAACAAAATCCGTTCCTTGCTTTCTATTTCCTCCATCTTACCCTCACGTCAAAACAACCGTCTACGAAAGCAAAAATGGGAGACTACAGTCAGGTCATGCACGAAGAGGCGCTTGTCGCGCGCATACTGTGTAAGTCTGAACGCATCGAACGTGTCTTTGTTTATGCAGCTAATTTATCTCAAAGCCCAGGCCCGCGCTATCTACGGCCCAAAGTACCCCTATGGCTCTACATTCGACGTCATCTACAGCAACGAGATGTCTGCAGGCAAGGACCTTGTCGCATGGCTCATCGTTTACCCAATGCCAGACAATGCTGCCTTCAAGACTGGAAAAGCTGTATCGAACGAGTGGACTCCAGTTCTAAAGTCGCGGCGCATAGGCGGAAAGGGAACTGGCTCCACCCTTCAGCGAGGCTACCAGGATCTTCTGAGGAAGCTGCGTATCATGATGGTCGAGACTATGGCTTCCATGGGTAAGTAGATGAATGCGATGGTTTGAGAGAAGCGCTCGCTGACAGACGGTAGAGAAGACAGAGGAGGCAGAGAAGTTAGAGAAGGATGACATCAGCACTGACAACCTTGGAAGTAATCAGCGCTGAATCTAGCGGCTTGCGGCCACGCTGTCAGTCGACTGATAGAAGTATACATGCATTGAGTCTCTTGACTGGCAATAATAGATAGTAAAGAACCGGGTAACCGCACTGGTAGATACGAATTCGGTAGGGTCAAAACGAAGGTGTAAGTGAGATCTACGTCAGCGCTTCGGCCCACACATATCTCGCAATAGACCCTCTACTCTTAATTGTCTGCTTCTCGCTCTGACTCTTTCATGCTCCCTCGCTGAGACCGAAACCCTCCGCGACAACAGCCGGAATGTTTGACAACTTCGAGAAAACCGGCGGCCAGGATCAATCCGAAGAGACACTCAAAGCGGCATAGATTTGAGGCTTGCAAGAATACTTTGGCTGAATGTGGGCACTGGTTTCGCATTGCTGCGCACTCGTCGTCACCAAATGTGAACCATCCGAGTACCGGCGAAGAAGGTGGGCCTGGGATCGCGTCTTCCAAGGTTGTGCAGTACCATGGTACCTAGATAGACAAGAAACTTTTCGCGCAACATCCAAAACCCCAAACTCCTACTTCAACAACACATCACTACGAACACAACTAGTCATTCAGAACACATGGTGCTGGAAACGAAATTCAGGGCCTGGGTCAATCCCGACTCCGCTATACGGGAGAAAGAGATGAAGGAACAGATCCTGTGTACGTCGCTACTACTTCCCATTCACACCGTACGAATTAACAACTTACAATCAACGTGTAGCGCAGGCTCGTGCCTTGCATGCTCAACGTTTCCCATGTGGTTCAGGTTTCGATATTGTCCACAGCAGGACCGACACATCGGAAGGCCGTTGTTATGAAACTCACCTTATCGTTTATGTCCCGTCGGACACGTTTCTGGAAAACGACTGGGAAATAGTTCTTTCGGTCGATAAGAACAATAGCATTATGGGCGGTTTGGACGCTCTCATGGTGGAACTTACAAAGCGGCTGGGTGACAAGATCGGTAAGTACGGTGGCCGAGGATGAAAGGTGTGAGAACTGACTGAACGCTTGCATTATAGAGCAGAAGAGAAAGGGAATTGATGCTAAAGGCGTGTGGACGATCCGAGGAGTGGTTCAAGGACAGAGTGGCTAGGTTCGCTGAAGAACACTACACCGCTGAAGCGGCTAGGGAGGCTGAGAACGCGCGAAGACTTTTCTAATTCATTCGATGGCAGAATCATTATGTGGAAGACGAGTTTGAATGTTAGGCGACTGCCTTTGTTGGACACGTGTAAAGACTTGGCGTACAAAACGAGAATTCTGAGGTGAAGGTGAACTAAGCATCGCGCCTTCCCAACGCGTTAGATAAGAAACTTTCGCGCAACCGCTCCCAATCTTCTACCACCCACAACCGCAAACCAACTAAGCTTCCAAAATCTGAAGTCCACACCGCGCACCTTCGTCACTTCAGCCATCATGGCTATGTCCAAGTACGAGACAATCATGTGGGAGAAAGAGATGAAAGAACAGATCCTGAGTAAGCATAATCTGAGTAACTGTTCTCACGCTATCTAAAACTGACTTGTGTTCGCCTTGAAGGTCATGCCCACGTAATCTTCGCTGGAGATTGCCCTCGCGGTTCAGTCCTCGACGTCATCCACGCCCACAACACCGCCACGGGGGGCTTTGGAGAGGCAGTGACTTCCTGCGATACTCATCTCATTCTCTACAACCCCGGCTACAAACTAGGGGAGTGGGAGTTGTTGGCATCGGGCTATAGTCGTGGCACGGTCGCAAGCGGCTTGGAAACTCTCTTGGAAGTGCTCAGACGCCGCATGGGTCAGAAGCTATTGGCACAGAAATTGCGTAAGTTGCGCATCCAATACATTCAGATGCAAATTCTGACTGACTGGCTTCATTGTAGTTCACGATGCTTCGCTAGAGAGGCTCCGACAACAAGCACCACCCGCTCGCTAGCGGTACCGCACCTCTACTCATATGCACAGTATCAACTCCGCACCAGAAAATTGCGAGTCTGGAGGATGGGACAAAGAATATGGAGATGGAACTTCTGTCACTACACATACAATAGCCATAGCCCGATTGCCAGCCTCACTTCAGCTGCTAGATAGCAATGGAACCATCAACGAGGAACTGCCATTTCGTGATTCGTTCTAAACCTGAGCACCGTAAATCCGTTGGGCGAGTGCTCGCTATTTCTGCTACGGACTAGTCACGTAGTTCAGGTCATAAGCGAGGAGGTGAAGGTGAGTCGCACTCTTCGTAGCTGATGAGAAACTTTCCAGCCCGACAACAACAACCCTTCCACCTGCCACTTCCCGAGACACAACAACTCCACGTCACTCCGAGTCAGCAGTCATTGCCACCATGGCTATGTCCAAATACGAAACTATCCTCTGGGAAGAGAAGATGAAAGAGCAGATCATGTGTAAGTAGTCGCGATCACAATGCTCGCACTTTCCCAGACTAACATTTAATCACCTTACAGCTCTTGCACGCGCAACTTACACGGATAGCTTCTCGCAGTGTTCAGTCTTCGACGTCATCCACACCACTATCAAGGGACACAAAGCAGGCGTCGGCGTCCACACTCTTCACGCCACCCACCTCATCGTCTACAAGTGGCCCTCTATACACGCCGGCTTAGAATTCGTCATCACCGTGGAGTGTAAGAGCTTCGCTGAGGGCCTCGAATCTCTCATGGCAAGGATGCAAGACCAGCTGGGTCGTAGTATCGGTGAGTCGCTCAGTTGCCAGACCCAGACTTCAGTGCTAATCAACTGATCTTTCTATAGCTCGGGCGGAAGTGGACAAAGTAAACTCTTTCATCGAGGAAGATTGGATCGATTCGGCTAGGGCTGGGGTCGTGGTCGAAGAGGCGCGATTTGTCAAGATGAGGGCTGCCCTGGGTAAGCTTCGGATGGTCTTTAAAGACTAGCTGAATAGCTTGCTTATGAAGAAGAAATACTGGATCACGCGTTGACGAGTCGGAATGGCGTAGTGAGGAAGATACAGAAATCATCTTCCACGACATTCATGCAAAAAAGTAGACCTGTATGCGCCACTGCCTTGATAGATAGGAATGCAATCCATCAACCATAACATGCCATCGTGCGGACTACTTCACTTCCTGCGCCCCTAATCTTAACATACTAAGCCACATGTCAGCGTCCGCCTGGAAAAAGACTGAAAATTTGCTCAGCGGTTGTTTGCTGTCTCCGTTTTGGGCTAGCTCACAACAAGAGAGGCAGGTGAGGGTGAGTCGCGCTTTCCATTCGATAAGAAACTTTTCGCCCGACAACAAGATCCAACTCTTCTACTTCCTACTCCTACAACACCTCACACTCAACGTCTAGTTGTCGGCCCACGCCATCACCGCAAGCGCCATGGCCATGTCCAAGTACGAGAACATCATCTGGGAGGAGAAGATGAAGGAAAAGATTATGTGTACGTACTTCGCAGCTGTCGGCATTTCTGGATTCTGTCACTGACTCACTCAGCTCATGCCGGTATCGTCTACGCCGAGGAGCTTTTGCCATCTTCACACTTCCATATCATCATCGCGCAGGAGAAGAAGAGCGACGGTGGTTCTTTCTACACTACCTCTCTCCTCGTAATCTACGCGCCGGTCGGCACCGGGTACGAAGTACTCTTCTCGACCCGAGAGAGGGAGACTGTTGGGGATGGGTTGGAGGCTATGTTAGAGATATTGCAGCAGAAGGTGGCCCCTCTCTTGAGTAAGTCTTTGATGCACAATACACAAGACTGGCCCGTTGTACAATGCTAACATTGTATGCTTGTACGTAGAGGAACAGATGCTCGCAGCTGATAAGGAGTCGCACAACCCTCTGTCCGACAACTCCGGTAAAACCCAACTGGATTTGTTACGGGAGTTGGCACCCCCGCCTCGCGCAAAGCGAGTGGCTTCAGCTACCTAGGTAACCCTTGGAGATCTGCTTTCCATCCAAAATCATCTCGTAACTAGCTGGGTTTCTTCCAAGATCTTCGCTAGAAGAGACTCGATAGAGGGAACATGGAGGTTGATCGCAGTTCAACAGGTCGAGTGTAACATGCCTACATCTCTCGTGCTACACATGGACGAGATACAACACAGCTTGAGCTACCCGGTAGCTATGAAAGCCCTACAAATAGATGGATGATCTTCAATGACTTTGCATTTCGCCCGTGTGCTGAGTGAACTTCATTGTCCGATCATTACACTCTTCTCTTCGCCCAGACTGACACCAACAGCCTTAGCACCTCAGTTCACGTCCCCAGCCACAAATTACAGCAAATCATCCTCATCAACCTTCTCCCCCCTCCTCCCCGCCAACCAAACCCTCCCACTCTCATACGCCCCAAGATACAACCCCGCTCCAATAAACGTCCAAACACCCCTCAACGCACCGCCTCTCCACAACCCCTTAAACCCCTTCTCCTCTACAATCTCTTTACCCACAGCCCAACTACTCTTCCTGCCTTTTGACTGCGAGGGCGAAGACTTCATCGGATTAAGGGAATCCGCCGCGTCCTTCGCTGCATTCTTAACCGTGTCTTTCGTCCCCGCCGCCTCCTTCCCCAGCGCATCAACCAACCCCTTTCCTCCCCCATTACCCCCCTTCTTCCCACCCCCAGCATCCCCCGCCCCCTCAGCATCCGCCGCAGCAAGCATAACCCTCGTCTTAACAACATCAACCGGCGTCGTAAGCACCGCACTAACCGCCCCCGCACTCCCCGCGCTCAGCGCCGTAATCCAACCCATTTCAAATATCCCACCTTTCGTTAGTCCCTTTTCATCTCTGTACTTCTTAATCCCCTCTTTGAGTCTCTCGAACATGGGGAATTGCATTGCTGTAAAAGGGAGGTTGCGGCCTGCGAGGGCGGTGTAGCCGCGCCAGAGGGCGAGGGGGTTGGATTGGAATTTCGCTGGATGGGGAGGGGCGGATGTTAGTTTGGAGTGTGGAGGATGGGTGTGGGTGGTTGGGTGGTGGGTAGGGGATGGTGGATAAGGGGAACTTACCCAGCGTCTGTAAAGTAGCATTCTGCGATTGAGAAGTCGAGGAGACCATCTGCGCGTTTTGCTTAATGACTTCTGCGGGGGTGAGGATGGCGCATGAAACTAGTTCTGCCAAGGAAGAGGCAGAGGCGTGGACGAAGGCTATGGGGAGGATGGCTTCGTTTCTGGTATTGGTGTTTAGGCGGGTGAAAAGCGATTTTGTGTGTTCGTAGGTTGTGAAGAACGCTCCTGCTGTTGGTTTGATTAGCATGTATACTTTCCCCCCTAATATCTAACTCTCCTCTTATCTCGCGTAAGCCTTCTTCCTGTCCAAACGACATATCATCATCCACCTCTTCACCCATCAAACCTCTCCCTGACAACCATGCCATCCCCTTCTCTTTCCCCCCATCCCAACAAGCTCTCTCACTCATCCCACGCATCTCTGCTCTTTTCCTCTTCTCCTCTAAAACCACGTGTAGAAATCTTCACTTACAGCTCGGCAACGTAGCAACAATCACACTCCCAATCCCCTGATACACACCACGGAACAACTTCGGATCCACTTTCCCCGTCCGGCTATCCGTGTAGAGTTTAGCATATTCCGGGCTTTGGATGCGCGTTTTTATTGTGTCGAGTGGGTAGACGAGGAGGTCTACTGTAAAGGCTGCTATTGCGCCGGCCTTTTGTTGTGGTGATGTTAGTCGGGGATTCTCTTGAACAGGTTCTTTCGTGTTTGGAGGTTGGGTGGGTGTGGTTGTTTGTTTGTTCGGTTCCCATCTCTTTCTCGTTCTCAATTAATTGGCATGGAGAAGACGCGATGTCGGTGTCGCAAACACACGCAGCTGCCAAAAGCCCGCTGTCCAAGCCATTCAAAATCAACAACACCAGAGATTGAAACTCACAATCAAAATATCAGAACTAGTATTCCCCGCCATTTGCAAAGAGAAAAAGAACACGTCAAGCTGCAGATATATGAGGATCAGATGTTTTTCGCCAGGATAATTCTGAGTCGCCTCGTAATCGATCTTCAGGTACATACAGGGTCCGATAAAACCTCATGCATTACGTCACCGATGATCCGCCCACGACACGGATTCGCAGCTAACGGCATATACACGACTTCACGTGCCCGAAAACAACGAGAAGAATTCATGGTCATGAATAGTTGATGTATATAATGTGTCTAGATTATTTTTGTGTACTATTTTCTTTTATCTAATCTCACAATTTCCATCCCCGTCATGCCGTACCTGCACCTGCTGCGGCATTCCCTCCGCTAGCAGCAACCCACGATATCAAAGAAGAAGAAGGGGTATATAAACCTAATCCCACCCAGGATCATCGTCCGTCGTACATGATCCCAACCCCGCATTTCCCCCGTTCCCTAAACGCCATGTAAAAACACTTTTCATAAAGACATATCCATCCCATCATAGATCGAACCTGCGATCATTCCCATTTCCATTTCCATCATGAAAACGCAAAGAAAAAAGAAGGGGATACTACCACCACAAACACTAGAGCTTCGTATCCTGCCTATTAGAGTCGCTCAGCCTGCGGAAGGGCCCTTGCATCGTGGCACTAGGACCCGGCCTAGCACTACCCGCACGTGTAGCGTTACTCCCGGCGCTCGCACTTGCGCCTGCGCCTGCGGTACCTGGTGTTCTGGAAGTGGCGGTAGCGTTGGAGCGCTGTTGGAGTGTCGCACTGACCACCCATTGCAGGTGCATGCGCATGTTGCTGATTGCGGCGTTGACGTGCAGCATTTCGTCTTTGGAGCGCTGGCTCTCGTTGATGATCATCATGTTGGTGCGGCCGTCGAGGTCGGTGAGCGCGTTGGAGATACGGGATACTTCTTCGCGGAGGGAGTCGTGCAGCGTGAGGAGGTGGTGGACTTGGGAGTCGAAAGGGGGTTGGGCGGAGTTGTTGCTGTCGTTTCCGCCTGGTGGGACGGGTGGAAATGAAGCGGGTGGGAGGCGGAAGTCTGGCGGGGGTGCTTGGGGGTCGGTGTCGTTGGGGTCCAGGGGATCGGTAACAGGGAAGGAGGCGTCGTTTCCGTTGGCTGGATACAGGTAGTTTGTGATGTTGGTGAGACCGTCTTCGAGGATGCCGACTTTCCTAGTCAGGGGCTCCATTCGCGCCTCGTTTCTTTCGATGCGGGCTTGCTGTTCGCGGAAGTGGGGCGCCATGGTTGCCATTGCGCAGGTTGGTTCGTGGAGTACGACGTCGGCACGCTCGGCTTGGAACTTGCATCCGACGATGGTGCCCTGGCATGATATGACATGTTTCGGGCAGTCGTTGTTGATGTGAGGCTTGAGGTCTAGCCGCAGTATCTCAGCCGAGCAGAGCGTGCAGGTAGTCAAGCGGTTAGCACAGAGGCTCCGCTGGTGCTCTTCGAGGTCCTTCTTGAGGAGCGAAGCGTGACAGTCCTCGCAACTGACGGTGTAGTGCAAGCATCCCTTGTGGAAGTCCTTCTGTGATATCTGCAAGCGACAGTCTGCGGCAGAGCATTCGACAGGCGTGTATTCGCAGTACAGCATGACGTGGTCGTTGACGTTGACGCGTTGGGCGACCCAGTTGCAGCCTGCCTTGGTGTTCGGGCACTTCACGACAAGCTCATCCAGCATCGTCTCGATAATCTTGGGCACCGGGCGAACGTCACTGTCGCTTTCGACAGCATGCCGGCACGTGGGACACGTCCTCTTATGCTGTGGCGCCCATGCGTGATCGAGACACTCGCGGCAGAAGTAGTGGTCGCAGGAGAGCTGGACGGGCTTGTCGAAGGGGGCGTGGCAGATGAGGCAGGTGAGGTTGCTGTCGGGCGTGGAGACGTATTCTAGGCTGGCGAACTCGGGGGGTACTTTGACGATTCGGCTGTGACGGCGCTTCGTTGAGGGTGAGTTTGAGACGCGGACGGCCAAGGGCGAGGGGCTGCTGGGAGGGCCGCCGACGGGCATTCCACCATGCTGCTCTTCGGCCCAGCCAGTCCAGTTGGCGTTACTAGACGAGCGCGACGAGCGTGAGGACCGGCGGTCGTTCGGGGGTGGGATGGGGCTTGGCGACGACATGCTGGAGGAGTTGGTGTGGAGGGTTGGCGGGAGTTGGCGACGGATAGACGCTTATGAAAGAGAATCGCGTTCACTCGCGTCGGGGCAGGCGCTGTCGGCGGTGAGATGCGCTGTCTCGGGTCTCCTCTATCGTGTCGATCGAGGTGGCTGTGGGGGGTTTGTTGGTCGGATGGTCGCCCTGCCAGTCATCCACGGGGGGCTGCAGAGCGCCAGAAGCAAAGACTATGTCGGGCGGTCAGGATGGCACATTCTCCCGAAACAGAAGGGAGCATGCCGTGGCTTGGTGGTTGCGCGACAGAGCGACATGGTGCTGCCCTGGCCGCTCCCCACCAATGATGCCCCAGCCGCCCAGCCACGGCATAGTGGGCCTGTCGTCAGCGGTCCGCTCCTGGAGTGCAGCAGCCTTGCCATCTCCACTCGCGCTTTAGCTGCAACGTTGTGTGTCTGTTTCACATCCATGGATTGCTGTACATAGTCGCATCCAGGCGTAGTTATCAAAGTCAATCGCGCTTTCCCTCGCATCGTTCGCGCGTCCCATCTCCGGCGCATTGGGTCCCTGTACCACGCACTACACCACCGCCTGCAACCAACCTTCACCCACCACAGCCACCATGGCAACCAACCCCCCACAGCTCTTCCTCCTCGCCGACCACATCAAGCTCTCCCTGCTTGAGCGCCAACGTGCCCTCTCCCTCAACCTCCCCTCCAACAGCCAAGATGGCCAGATCTCGCGCTCGCTGGAGCAATTGCGCTCCGGCATCGAGTCGCTGGAGTCGCAAGTCCAAGACACGTCGGACGAGTAGGCCCACCCGACATCTCTCTATACAGGAATATTATTTACTAATGTATCGTTAGATCAATAACATCACAA